TATAGTTCAGTGACGGGCGTGTGGTATATAAAATCTTATGAAATCGTTACATAACTTTTTTGCCAAATTTCACAAAGACTTACAACTCTTGAGGTAAATGCTTTGAATGCCCATACATAATATTATATTTATCAAAATACACATACAAACCATTATAGCAGGATACACTTTTTTCATCCTGTTTATATGTGTTTAGTAATATATAAACATGTAATACATGATATTTGGAAATGTTCTCCAATCTTCTTTAATCAATCTTTTGAGCAAATGAGGCTATTGTCTTTTTATCAGCAGTGTAGATTTCATTTTTAAGGTGTACCTCTAGAACCTGGGAAGATGGAAGGGTTTTAATCTTTTTGTCTAACTGAATGCGAGATAAGAAAATAAATCTAGTATATGCATGTACATATACATGTATATAGACTTGGAAAATGTGAGAAACATGATGAAGGATGTTGGATAATAAAAAAACGCCTTTTTGACGGTTGTTTTTAGTTTGGCCTTTTGCTTTGGGCCTATCACTATCGTTGTCATATTTTCCTGTTATTTAGATATTATTTGGAAGATATGCAGTTTTGCTCACGACGATGTTTTCATTCACCGTTGGACACGTCACGAGTTAGTACTTGAAATTAACAATTACGTTGGTGCCGGCACTCAGGATGTTCGAGTTGAACTAAATTGAATTAAATTCGCCCGAACACTGAACTAACAAAGGTGAACATTTTTGGGTTTGATGTCATTTTTAATGAGGAATGCATGCGCTTAATTAGCTACTACCATCTTATCAACCACGGCAGATAAGCCAATAGCGTCCAACTAAGAAGAATAATATCACCAACCATCTATGTTTCAACCGATTTCAAAAAAGGAGGACGTTCTCAATTCGACTGTGTTTTTTATGTTTGTTCTCAGAACTTTCGGCGGAGTGTACCGATTTTGATGGTTCTTTTTTTTATTTGTAAGCTGGTGCTTCCCATGTGGTATCATATTCATTTCATGGGTATTGGAATTAAGGTTCCGGAGATAAGAGAAACTGCTGAAAATCAATTATAAAATGAATACAGAGCGAGATATTTGAAGTTAGTTTTGTTTTCCATTAGTAAAAAATTTGTATGTATTTAAATTAACTTTTATATTACAAGGTAAGACGAGCTAAGTCTCTTCTTTCTTTTAAAAACCTAGTAAAAGCTCATTACTTGGAACTTTAAACTCAAGTTTTCCTTTCTCCTTTGACTATCTCATTGATGTATAAATGCCTTCATCCGTTGTTTATAAGTGAATCATGTGCACCTCCCTCTGCTCTCTTCGTTATGTCTCATTACCAAAAATTCTTTTCACAATGGTCGTCTGGAAGAAATCGCTTGCTGAGCGATAAGACCGCCAATTGTACTTCCTTTTACGTTCTTTTGTAATTTGCTTTGTATATATGTATTTTTTTTGGTGTACAATAAAGTATAAATAAATAAATAAATAAACGTAGCATTGGTGCATACCCATACAAATCGAGAACGCCGTTCTAATGGCCACACCCTATCAGAGAGGGCGGAAAGCATAAATTCGAAGCGGCGATCGGACGCGCTCGGTACATTGCCTCCTCCGCCGATACGACCGTTATTTATTGCGCAACGGAGGCCTCTTATATTCCCTCTTCTTTTGGGGAACGTTAATTCGGCTAGTTGAATATTTTCAATTTTATATTGATTTTTAAAACGTGCTGAGAGTGGTTTACTGGGTGATTTTGCATACCCGCCGTAACCTGAACATAACTATTCAACAGGGGTTTTTATATCTATGACTGTGTAGACGTAAATTTGGTATCAATACACACAAATTATTGTCACAGTCAATTCAATCAACGACAATCCTTTATGTAATTGTCATTGCCATACCAAAACCTCAATTCGGACATTCAGATTTGGCGAAGTTAGAGTAGTTAGATAGCATAGCGAAAACTACCGTTTGCATCACAAATCATTCCTCGTAAAGAGAATTTGAGCCACATTGGGAATGTACCTCAATTCTTATCGTGACTTCTATTCCTCAGAGAATCTGCTATCAATGCTGTTTGGTCGTGAGTAAAAAAACTTATACGTGATAAAATTCAAAAAGAAGATGCATTAGTCTTAACAGCCTTAAGAAATTTACGGAATTCTATAGAAATTCAATGGTTACTTTAAAATCTTCACACTTAGGCTTAATGAGTTTGCTAAATGGTTCAGACCAGCGGAACGTTGGCGCACTATGTCAGCATGTTAATGGAAAATGTAAGAATTTAATTTGCGACGGTAAAACTTCGGCAATTGAACTTCTACATTCGAAACTTACAATTTCAAAGTATCTCCAACTTGAAAGTTTATACTCCATAAGCTCGATCCCTGTGAGTGGAGAATCAATGAAGTTTCTAAATTCGATTTTTAAACTTCTCTTGAAATTTTGTCCCCTCTTAAAGAAAGGGTATTTGATTATAAGGAGCTTCGCGTAGTGTCACGTTTGAAAACCGCGGATCCGCGTCTCAGTTTAAATCGAATAAGTTTCAATTCAAAGTTTTCCGTTGGATACGTATTTAAATTCACCGCTGCTTCTGCATACTCTGAATTCGTGGTATAACAAAGAAGTGATATGATTTTAATGATGAAACTATGATTATTATTTATTGCAATACAAATTTATATTTTGATAGTGCTAATCTCTGCACTTAAGATTAAATGTTAAAATTTGTGGTAAAAGTACGAATAGTTTGTCGCCGCTGCGGGAGTCGAACCAACGTCTTCAATAGGAGTTTGTTGCAAAAGTTGCCAAGTGCGAGGTTCCCTACCGTTATATATAAACACTTGAAACCAAATTTCAAGTCCGTTGTATGGGACATATTAGTTTGCTTTTATAGCGGCAACAGAAATACATCATCGGAAAATTTTAACTGTCTGATTATCACGGTTCATTCAGCCTGCAGACGGACAGACAGACAGACAGCGGATTCTTAGTAATGGGGTTCCGTTTAGGAACGGAACCTAAAAACTTATACATCGTCTCATAAAGAATTACTTAGTCTAGTAGTGGATAGAATTAATTTCTGTTTAAATCATGCACATTACTTTGTCTCGAAAATTCATTCTTATATTGTTCACTGCGCTATTATGAATATATATAATTAAACTTTGTTGAACTACGTTAAGGAACCCATTTGAATACCTAATAACTTGCGGCAGAATAAAATTATGTCTCAACTTGGTTTTTATTAGTCGACTTCGCGAATGTATCGGAAAGATCCATATTACGCCTCTTTAAAAGATCTGACTAAAAACGTTGAGAATGGACATAGAACTGATATTCTTTCTTAGTACATGACTGAGGTTTAAAGGATTGTTAATTCTTTGACTTCGTTAATTCTGGTAGTTAGTAATAATTGAATGTTTATTTATACATCAATTGTGTAAGTTGCAAATCAATTAAGTATGATTAATTACCTATAATTATTGGTTGTGTCTCAGACTGTTGTGGTCGAAGATTTGAGTTATTTATTCAACTGTGCTCTTCTTCTTCTTAATGAGAATAAGCGATGATCTATTCTATATTAAAAGCGTGATATGAAATGCGGTATGTGAGAAGTAACATCGCTTTGCAATTTTCGACTGTGGCTTGAAAAATTAGTTAATTGGAGCATGCGTTAATTGGTGCATGACCTGTAGTAGGGACATGCAATAGTGTTCGCTGTTGGTCGAATGGTCAGATCCATCTAGGAAAGTTCCACGACCTCACAGAAGGCTGGCGTAATGCTGAAGTGTTATACATTCGCGCTTCGTCTCGTGAGTAAGATAGCCGGGACCCACTTTATCAAAACGTGGCAACGCATCTGCAAACCTACGGGTGTTGCAAATGTCCATGGGCGGAGGTTATCACTTAACATCAGGTGAACCGTCAGCTCATTTGCCGCCTTCTCAAATAAAGAAAATCAAAAAGATATAGCCAATCTTGTCGGTGACTCCTCTAACATATGGTAATACAGCAGTTACTCGCTCAAATGTGGCTTCCTGTCATAAAACCACGTGATATGTCAGCACTTAAAATTAACAATTTCAGTGGTTAGAACTCAGGTTGTTCGAGTATTATTAAAAGCGAGCGCCCAAAGAGATCTATGACGGCTCTAAGATATGGTATTTAGGGACAAATCCCAAATCATTTCTAAAAACATAAATATTATAAATACTATCTGACAATGTAACAAAAGTAAATTACGCAGGAAATTTACAATCGGAACCATTAATACTATTATTATTATGACTCAATCTTTTACTTCGGATAATAAACACCATTAAGTACAGCAGTATATCTTAATATATTTGTATAACGACGTGATAACATAATATGTGCATACGTAATGTTATAAATACCCTACAATCGTATAGAGCACTGTATTTTTCTATTTACACACAACTTGGACGATCAGAATGTCTCACGCTATACTGAGAGGAAAGCCCACTGCATCGCAATTGTATCTAGACGGTGTACTAAAAACAGTGCTTAAAACTAAAGAAGTGGAAGATCCCAATGTTATTAGTATATCGGAATTGATATGGTGCTGCATGAAAGAAAATCTTTCATCGATGTACATGGTGAGTATCGAAGGAAATATGTATTGTTAAGAATAAATTGTATACAGGAGAAGATGCTAGTGCAGCGAGTGTTCGCATGCATTGACTGCCGCTAAATTCTGTCCAGTAAACGGGGACGAGGTTCGTCACCTTTGAGGGCAAATCATCAAGTTTAAATTAAGATTGCACAAGATATCACAGTCCACTCCTTTCCTTTGTATGGTTGTTGTGTTATTTGGAAGGGAGGATATATGGTAACGAATTAATCATATTAATCAATTTTGCTATCTAAGATTGGTAACTTCAACGTTAATAATGAACGAAGTATCTTAACAAAGATTTTTATAACTGTACGAGTAGATAAACGGATCGACCGGCGAATCGTTTACCAACGAGGAAATTTTGAAGATGTCTGTACCGCTGTCTAGAGCGTTAATGAATAAAGGTCTGAAAGGTGAAATCGTGATGATGGTATTACAAAATCATCAATCTATGGTGGCCGTTTACTATGGAGCGCTATTCGCCGGAGCAATCCCGTTTTTAGTTGACTCCAAAAATACTATGTGTGAGTATTCCGATTTATTTTCCTTTTTCATTTATGAGGGCGATAGTTGGATAATATATCTATCTAATATAATCCTTTATCATCTATTGACATCAATTTTGTAGTAAGTTCTATAGTACTAATTTTATAGTTGTATAATCTCTGCACATAAGACGAAACACTAAAATTCTAGAAACATTAATGAACAGTATTTTTTCGTCGCGGGAATCAAACCCGCCAGGAATGGCGCTCAGACGCTTTAACAACTATGCGTCCCTTTTTATAAAAATATTAACGGAACGACTATATACATGGCGTGCCTTTCTTTTTCTTGCTTATTATATCTCTGGTGACATTAGGTTTCAAGAAATATTAGTGGTTAGGTGAAAAGTAAAAATGTATACTCCTGTCTAACTCGTCAATGATGAATCTCGTATTTGAATAAATTAATTTAAGAAATTCATATTTTTCCCTTTCTGTAGATGAGTTCAGTCATTTCATTGCACTTGTTTGTCCGAGTGTTATCTTTTGCGAGGAAAGCTGTTCCGGTGATATCATTAAAGTCGTAAATCAGTGGGTTGGTGAACGACCCGATATTGTAATTGCTAGCAGCAGCACTTATCTGAAACAATACACAACTGGCTTCAGTGGAGATCTTGACTCTTTCAGGTAATTTGAAAATATCTCGTACTTTATACTAAACGCGATTGATTTATATTTATTTTATTATTGTAATATGCTAAAGAGGTACAACTTGCAAGTAATATCTTTAACTTTTAGCTATTATTTTTCAACTACATCTTGTTTAAGATCTTGAGAATGTTAAATCTTGTTCACAAAATATCTTACGATATTTTTTTATTTTACAGCCCATATAAAATTTTAAATAAAGCGTCCTATGACCTCACGACGCGAAAATATCGACATATACGTTCTTTCTGTTGCACTTGGCACCATCTAGTGTCCTTTACGAGATGCAACACATTACTAAGAACCTTCAACAATAAATTTTGTAACGATAGATGTCGCCATTGCTCTATTTTTTTTTTTATTTAAGCGCAATGGTGACGTCTTATGCTCATGCACTACCAGACGTTCATTATCATTACTACGAAAGAAAATTTACGTAAGATTTGGAATTTTTTTGCTAAGACTTCTGACGCAGTATGACTGCGCAAAAAAAATTGTTCTTATATGATTTTTTAAATCAAATAAGACTAGTATTACATTATTATTTACAGAGTTGCCGATGTTGACCTTGAACTTCCAGCTGTGGTTTTGCCCACGAGTGGGTCAACAGGACTACCGAAAGCGGCAATGTTGGGACATAGAGGTCTGGTAGCGCAGTTGCCAACTCTCTGGTAATTCGTAGCTACAATCCGGTGTTTTATAGTTGCATAATTATTAAAATTCTTCTCGGAAAAGTATTGAAAAAATGTAGGTAGTCTGAAATAGTCAAGGTGCGCAGAAAACATGCTAACTGTAACACTGTCACGCACATAAATGGTTTGTATATTTATATAAGGCCGCTTTATCATCAGAAAAGTAGACGTTAAAACAGTAATTAATTACCAATTAAAATTAACTTAATTGACAACATTAATGTTTAATGCACAAAAGAGAAACAAATATAGCGTTCTATCTCTTATGAGCTTAACAGAGATAGTATGCTAAAAATATTAAATATCAGTTGGTTAAAATGTGAAAGTTGCAAAATGTTTATTGAAAGTATTATAGGAAGAATTCAAAAATTAAAATATCAATGCAAGTTTTTTAATAAGAAAATATTTTACCCTTGTCGCATTATAGGTTAATTCTGTGCTGTAGAGGCGTTTCGCAAACATAAACTAAAAAAAGACAAACATTAAGTTTAAGTAGTAATAGAGTTCCGTAAAACGGGACCCTATTACTAAGACTCCACTGTCTGTCTGTTTGTCTATCTGTCCATCTGTCGTCAGGCCGTATTCCGTGATAGTTAGACAGTTGAAATTTTGACTGATGATATATTTCTATTGCCACTATAAGAACAAATACTAAAAAACAGATTAAAATGTCTTTGTAATATATAAGTGAGGTTCACTTACAACAGACATGATTTCTTGCCGTTTTATAGATAATGGTAAGTGTTGGAGTATATAAGGAATTTAATTAGGGAAAGGGTTTAAAATGATGCAACTAGATATTTTCATGTGATAAGTTGGCAAGCGAGCAGGCGTTTAAACTGATTAACCTTAAATTAAAATTTGTATTAAATTAGTTCACCCATTAATGTTAAATCTTAAGTGCAGAGATTAGCACTATAAAAAAAATTAAATTTCTGATTAACCTGTTAAGTGATTGCACATGGACATCGGGTGTTGTTGACCCGAGCGATAGAAGATGCGTTGACAGCTTTGGAAAATGTTTTCAAAATTATCTTTTTCAATTTTTTGATGTTAAATTTCAAAACAATTTTCACTTGTTTTAGAAATTTCTTACGCAATCCTTAATCTCATTACCCACCGCATATTTAAAGAAAACGTTTAAATAGTTGTGTTCAGGATAAAAAAAGGAAGAAGAAACAACGCTTCTGAAGGTGTTATATTAATATAATTTCAATATTAAATAATTAGCTTTGTATTCGAATGCTTGTCCGTTACGGTTGGAAGTCAGTGCGAATGTACGAATTTGAATGTGTGTCGTTAACCATCCCGAGCCAATATATTTAAAATCTAACGGTCGACTCTCAATGCGAGTGTTACAAGTATTAAAAACAGTCTATGATTTAACCATTAATGTATACATATTAATAAATTTAGTTTTATTTATAATTTAAGTTGTCTGTAGCGCAGACAGTTGTTATACAAATAATAAACGTGTATTTCCTTTACGATTACAGGACACATCACGACCAGTTTCCACGGCCGACCGACTTAGTAATGCTGGTGTCGACGTCGCAGTGGATGACACACACAAGCGTGTTGACAACTTGTCCAGTGTACCAGATTACTCTTTTGATGACGCCCTCGCCGTCAGTTGATGGTTTTTTAGCGATGATTCTCCAATACAAGGTAAGCGACATTCCTCTTTACCTCCGATTCCCATACGAGGCGTCAATAAAGCTTGCAATACTTGCTCGCTAGTTGCAACTAGTCTGCAAGCCCAGTGTAACGAGGGATGTATAATTTTTTCTTCTAATAAATATTTGTTTTAATCTTCTGATAATTGAAAATATAAAGTCTTGGCATTAAAGTAAACATCATTTCAAGTACAGTAAAATAGTTCTTTGGTAATAGGTGGACATCTACAATAACCGCGAAGCAACAAGTACGTTGCCAACTACAAAAGGAAGGAACCATGTTACCCACTACCAATTCAGTTCACCGACGATACTTTAATAGTCTGTGGACTGTAAGCAAAAACATCAGTTAATGAAAGATGACAGATGGAATAGTAAACTTAAACATATAATTTCTACTTTGAAGCGGTTGTTTTATGACAATACTTTTTGCCCGTTTTTATGGAGTTGAATTATTTTTTTTTTATGAATTTGTATTAATTTTTTTTTTTTTATGGAGAAAAGGGGCAAACGAGCAAGAGACTCACGTGATGGTATGTGATTACCGCCGCCCATGAACACCTGCAACACCCGACAGCTCACAATAGCCGGCCTTTAATATCGTTATTAAATCATACCATGAAATTTATCAGACCTATCATTTACCGCCTGGATCAGTTTACTTGTTGCCGAATTCTCAATAGTAAAACTTATAGTTTTCCCAGCAATTAATTTACTCTTACAGCCAACTTGGACCCTTCTTGGGCCTATGTTTGCAGACACTTTAGCTGGCACAGCCTCTTCATCCGATTTCACTTCCTTTCAAACGATACTAACCACGGGTGCTCAGCCGACACCCATGGCTATGAAAACACTCAAGGTATTTTTTCTTCATGAATACTCTTGTTTATTGATACATATGTACATTTTACTGTTAAACACCTCATATCTTTGCACCACCCCCACTTTCTCACGTTAAGATTAAATGTGTAAACAAATAAATAAGTCGTGAATTCCGTTTCTTTAAGGGCAACACGAAAATTCAGATCAATTAATTTTAGGTGAACCAACCCAAGTCCCAACATCAACGTCTATTATTGATATGTGTCTCCAGCTAACATCAAACTTAACTCTGATAAAAGAACTTTAAAATCACAAAGTATAAATAAATAAAACAGCTTTTATTTTGCGTTCATAATTGACACAAATGAATAATTGTAAAAAAATATCGGGCTTGTTTTTTACGTTTGCATTACAGGCGTGCACTTAAATTTTGACTCGTAACACAAACATCATGTAACTATCGTATATTTACTTAGTGTTACTAACGTCGAAGGACAACCCAAAGGTCAACTGTATTTTAGTTTAATTTTTAATTTTAAGTGTCAGCCATTGCTCTTAATATGAACCTTAAGCTACATTTTGTATGTGCATTATTACCTACATGGTAAGCTGTTCCTATATTGTTTGGAATGAGTTTAACTGTTACTTTCTTTCTCAGGACAAGTTATCGCATAATGTACACCTGTGCAATGGCTACGGGATGACTGAGACCCATGGGTTCACCACCATGCCGGACATGGAAACGCCATATCAGTCGTGTGGACGGATCGTCAACATCTTTGATTACAAGGTCAGTTTATTGACGTAAAGGCATAAAGACCTTCACCTACACAATTGAAACGAAGTTTAGAAAAATATGTAAATATTCGTAACACAATACAAATATTTTAATTACATACAACAAACTCACAGCGAAGGAAACGTTCATTTTTTTATTAAGATATATCGATAGATTATACTCTCATTAAGTGTAGTAATTGACTTAGCTAGACAGGCTTCTTCTAAACTTTCCCTGCATAAGAAATAGATAAGATAATTAAATATCGGTAATTACTGTCACATTTGTTTGTCAAATATAAGCTTTTGCTCTAGTTCTCATAAGAAATGTAATATAAAAGTAAAAAGTAAAGTATCAGCTTATACATATCCCACTACTGGGCAAAGACATCTATTGTACAGAGGGTATCAGGGCACAGTCCACCACGCGGCCCCACTGCGGATTGGCGGACTTCACATATCTTCAAAATAATTTTTTGTTACTATTTCGAAAATGTGCAGGTTTCCTCACGACGTTTTCTACACCGCTGAGCACGTGATAATTCGGCACTTAAAATTAACTATTTCATCCACCATATGCCACCGGGAATCGAACTCAGGTTGCTCGGGTATATTGAATTAAAGGCGCGCGCCCGGACACTGAGATATCACTGCGGGAAAAGTAATTTAATAATAGGTAAACCTTTATCAAAATCAGCTCAGTAAGTGAAAGGTTTATATTTTGCTACCTATTAACATTTAAGAGATAAACAAACAATAAAGACCTAAGTAAATCGCTTTACCTATTCTAAAAGCAACACGTGTTTCATTACCGCCATCAGTCGTTAATGCCAAGCGGCGTAAAGTAACAAATCCTCATTGAAGTCGTATCTTTCCAATTAGACAATATCACTTAAGCCCTTGTGAATGGGGTACCTTAATAAAATCGCTTCGGTGAGTTTCTGAGTCGCTTCGGTTACGTGGCGCGAGGCCCTAATTCGTCTGTACGCCTTCCCTAAAGCTTCTTATGCTAATGGTAAATTTTATTGGCGCTGTTGCTAATCTAATTGTTTTGTCTTTATCTTTTTCAGTTGTTACATTTCAGTCCAGGCTATGAATAAATTGCCGCGCAATAGTAAAGAGCGTGATAGAAATATTTATCAGGCAAATTGTTACAATTTTGTTTATAGAGATATATTATTTTTTTTTTTTTTTTATATTTTATAAATTAATTATAATGTAATTTATAATTAATTTATAAAATAAAATATTTTATAAATGTAATTAATTATTGGCTGTAATTTATTTATTCACAAGTTAATAACTACAAATGTTACTATTATAGAATTTTCAATGAGTCTAGATGTCAGATATGGTAAGGTGTAGAAAACTATTAGTAAATTAAAAACACAATTAAAGCATCCGAAAGGAAGCTCACTTCATTTCGACATTGGTGTTGGCAACATCAGATTATTTTTATGCATGGCAATTGTGTGCTATAAAAATTGTATACTGAACTCTCTCGCATAGACGTGTCACTAAAGGCTGTACACAAGAAAATAAATTTAATACTGTCTAAAAGTGGTTTATTTCAAGACCAACTCCATCAGCTTTACCCACAGGCAGGATTACTTCCACTAAAATCAGGCAACCCGTGACAATTGGCAGGGTCTCACGTTAGCATCTGTCATGGGCAATCTCGCAAATCGAAAATGCTTAATTTTTAATTTTAACACTTTCGATTTGGCTCAGTGGTGAAGTTGCCATGTTATTGGCTTCGGTATCGAGGGTTGTTCGGGGCAAATATTTGTGTGCCCCACAGATAATTGTTCCGGCATTTGTTCCCAAAGTGATTTGACGCCTGGAGGCGGCCGGTTGTAAAAACCCAGCCAACACCACTTACTACATGATACGCCTTTAATGATAGTGGATAGGAGCAGGAGAAAGAGAAAGAAATAAATCACCTCCACTTGTTTATTATTGAACTTATTTCAATACTATAATAGTGTTTCAGATAAAAACATGTTTCGAGGCTCTAAAAATTATTGATTTTTCGTTTTCTTACATATCTGTGTCACGTTTTGTGACGGTCAAGGGTGTTTTAAAATAATATATAGCATACAAACAAGGACCTTTCTTTGATTTTACCTTCCAGTTGGTGGACAAAGCAGGGAATAGAGTTGGAACGAACGAAAAAGGAGAGCTGCTTTTACGCAGTGAATCGTGCATTCTGCAGGTTAATTATTACTTTCATAATTTCAATTAACTCTATTGGCACCATCATCACGAAGAAAATTTCGATGTCGTTAGGACATAACCACTGCAAAATAATGAAATAGAAAAGGTAACAGAATTGACTCTTGCGTTTTCCGCCATATCAGGGTGTATGCAAGTGTTTTGAAGTTTTGGTTCTGTAAGTTCAAATTTTATTGGTCTGCACCTATAAGTCTTTTTCAGATACCTTACGTCTGAATCATTCTCATAAGATCCCGTTGCAGTACGGCAGGAAGCGTTGTGTAACACTCGGGGAGTATAATAGCTAGGTAAAAGGTGAATAGCATTTCAATCGTGGTGGGGCCATTTAGCAGCTTTTGCTGTTGCTGAAATGTAAAGGCTCATCAACACCACTTCATCATAATTATATTATCGCAATAAAATATGGATTATGCTTTTTGTTTGGTTTGTGAGGTAATCTGGCTCTTTGAAGGTTATCAACTTATTTAAACCGCCTGGTCTCTAGCTACCCTCCCACGTAACGAAACGTTACATACGAGTAGTGAACTACCACTTATATTTTTATTTCACTCCGTAGGCTATTAAAGCTTCATTGAACGCGGAACTCCGCGTGCGTTATCTTTAACGGGGTTTATCTCATCTACAGGCCATCGACGTTCAGTACGGACATTAAACTCGGCGACTAAATAAGATAAGAACTATTTACTTAGTGTTAAAAACAACCGAATAAGCAATTCGGTCGTTTTCTTTAACAATCCCTATAAATATATTAATAATGTAAATAAAAATGTTCTTCTGTATTTGGGAATGGAAAGAGTAATTGCAATGTTGTTTTAGGGCTACTACAGGAATAAGGAAGCGCTCGAAGAATGTATGACTGACGACGGCTGGTTGAAGACAGGAGATGTATTTTACGAAGACAGAAATGGTCTTCTTTATTTCGTGGAAAGAAATAAGTTTTGGTTTAAGTATTTAAACCATCAGGTAATATATTTTCGTCTTAGCTTTAACTTGAGTACATAAGAACGATAAGACAATAGTTATCAGCTCTAGGCTTCCAGCGATGGCTAAAATGTTTGTCATATCCCGGATAAAGATTTAAAATCTCGCTTGTACAAATAATTAAAACAGGGTACTGCTGGATTTATTCTATGCTCAACTAATAATGAGTGATAGCTCATTGTAAGGGCTCTCCTTTATTTTTCAACAAACTCGAGTTGGTTTCAATCCCCGGTGCCGGCACAAATGAAAATGTTAATTTTAAGTGCTGACTTATCACGTGATCAGCGGTGAAGGAGAAAATAATGAGGAAACCTGCATATTTTCGAAATAAGAACAAAAAAAATATTACGAAAATATGTGATGTCCGCCAATCCGCAGTGGTGGCCTATGCCCCTCTTTTCACAGAGGAGGCTTTTGCCCAGTAGTGGAATATTTATAGGCTGTTACATTACTTTATTTTATACAAAACTTATCCTAAAAAGAATTTTGAAATATACGCAGTACATAATCTTCAATTTCTTTCCCAGAAAACTTCTGAATGGCAATCAAATATTTTGCAATTTTCTGATTTTTCCTGATGTCAATTTAAAACACTATTTCCTTTTAAAATTGGACATTTGAAGCAAAATTCACGTTTTAAGTTTCATCTTGATCGAAGAAACTGGCATTATAAATAAAAATGGATCGTAAATACTGTTTAATTTTTCCATCTAAACCTTTTTGTAGAATGATTAAAAATATTTTTCCTCAATCTCAAGCTGAAGAATAATCCTTACTGCATATAAAATGTGTTTTTACATATGCAGTGAGGATTATCCTTCATCTGCTGAGATGGTTGGCTTTTGACAGCCTGCCGGCGTGGAGTGGAAGTGCTAAACTTCTGCGTTTGTCTGGTGAGTGAGGTAGCTGCGGCCTTCTTTATTGAAAGGGTTGCCACCTTTTAATTTGCAATCCCACGGGTGTTGCAAATGTCAATAGGCTGCGGTATTCACTTAACACCATGTGAACTTTCTCGATTGCCACTATTTTACATGAAAAACAAATACTAGAGAGACCCAGATAAGGATGTGAAGTCGACTGAGACGGGTTGGCTTACAGATCTCGCCCGAAGAGCTTGAGGTCGTAATTGGCAATCTGCCGGGAGTGAGTGAGTGAGGGGCGAGGGGGCGCAATCGCAGGGGTAGTGCGGCGACCTGGATTCGCCGTCTCCGTAGCGGACGTCCATGGGGTGGTTAACGGTAAATATATATACATATATATACTTAACTGAAATGATAGTGACTCGTTGGTGCCATTGCTAAGCTTTGCCTTGGGGTTAAGGGTCAAGGGTTCGATTCCCACACGGGACAAGTATTTGTGTGATCCACAGAAAAATTGTTCCGTCCATGTTTGCAAAATTGTTAAGTTTTAATGATACTTACTGTTATAGTTTATTTCCGTTTCTATCACAAGGTTCCATGATTGAGGTAGATATATTTGGTTTTATTGTACCAGAAAAGAAATATAAACAGAAACTATATAAAACCATTCAACGTCATACAATAGAACTGATGTTCCTTCTGCTAATCACTCGTACGATGCCTACACGACAAAAACAATAAAACAAAATGTTCCTTCTCTCAGCCACTCTGAACGAGAACAAACGCCTCCACGGCGGCGTGGTGCTGGTGGAGCGACTGCCACGGACCCAGAGTGGGAAGCTGCATAGGGCCCAATGCCGCGACCTGCTCAACAGCCTCATCGCTCAGCGGAACACCATGGACGGTGATTAACACCTGAAGCGTGTTACTTATTTTCAGCATACACATAAACACACATTGTAACATTAGAAATAAATATACAATTCTCAATACACTAAAACGTTTCGCACATCTCTGCATTTCTCGCACTCATAAAGACCTTAAATCTTTGCGTATATGACAGAGGCACACAGATAATCTCTAGTGGTAGGGCCACGCAGCAGCCTCGGCTGTTGCACGAACGGGCAGGTGAACCGCTTGCTCGCTTGGCAACTTTTCACATAAAAAACGAAATTATTGTTTTAAATGATAGTTAATATTAAGTTATCGTAGGACCATAATTTTTATCCAAAATTACATTTGTTCAAAATTAACAACCACTACATATGCGCGTTTAAGTCGCTAATATATATAATCATTGTTGCCAAAGTTGATTATGTTAATTAGTTGGAACGCTTAATTAAATAAATGAACCAGATAGTGTGTACAATGAGAATGGATTCTCATCTAATTTTGTTACTTAAAGCTAGGACATCAATTTAGCCTAGTGATATATTTGTGGCACGACACAGTCCTGTCCGGAAAGTTACTCGCCACCTGCACAAGTTTGCAGGAACACGTTGCATTGGAACACAGATTGCCCCTTTCTTAACGGCGCCGGGGAATCAGATGAAAAAGTACCAAAAAGCAGCAAGGCTTCATCGGTCACCACGTTTCGATTTTGGAGTGTAGGGTAAAAGATGCATAGGGGAAATATGGACCGCGGCCCCAGCATTGCTGATTTAGCACAAAGGACATGAAGTGTGGCCCCCACTCTAAATCGTAGCTGAGTTTTTTGGAAGTTTATTTTTAGTTTTATGAAAAGTGGTTAGGGTTCACCGATGTTAACTGATTGCTGTTGTCCATGAGTATCTACAAAAGCTAAGGGGGTTACAAATGCGTTAAAAACCATTAGAAATGCGCTGGATTCCTCAATCACCAGAAGAAACGCAAAGGTATTAAAAAAAATAATATGTCTACTTCGTCATGGTACTTCCCCGGAAGAGCCTAACCTGTGAAAAGTCGGCAGACGAGCAGGTGATTTACTTGATATTATAAGTGACTACCCATGAACATCAACAGTACCTGGGGAGTTATAGATGCTTTGCCGACTTAAGAAGTGGGTCGAAGCTTCTACGGGGCCCTACCACAGCTAGAATCCTTTCAGCCTTAGATGATGGACCTGACCAGAACCAACGCGGCAGTGTTATACAACGTCCAGCGTAGATGGGAGCGGCCTCCCATAAATCAGCCGAGCGACGGCGCAATGCAATCATCGGCGCGATAAATCAAGCGCCGGACGCCGCGGTTTTCGCAATGACAGCGGCGCAATAGGCGTCTCCTAACGCCGGCGCCGGATCATCTGTGACGTTGATTTATGCGCTAATCGGATGGGATTTTCGATACGCACCGCTCCGTGGTGCGAGCGCTTCCACTCGCCTGTGGTATCTGGATGTCTCCGAGCCTGATGCGACAGTTCTTGACTCTTTACACGATGCGTTAGTGCTTCATTATTTCGATCTAATACGCCGATTAAATCTTTCTAACTTCCTAGAGGTTCTTAGATGAAATATGTTCTGAGCTTCGATAAAATTTACCGTTATTTTAGAAAATTAAACTTTTGTCGGATAATTGACATGGACCACGAAGCTTATTATATCAAACGGTTGCACAACGGTAGATGTATTTTTGAGATCTTCAGGTAATTGTTCATCTTGGCGAATTATTTTTCATTTCCCTTATAACTCATTATATAATAATAATATATAACCTGTATATGTAAAAAAGGATTAATGCAGCTTAGGCATCGATACTAATAGATAGTTTTGAATCGTTTCAGTTATTTCAGAAATGATGCACTACAAATGAATTTCACTTTGCAATGTCAGTTGTACACACAACAAAAAGTAACAAGCTGGACCAAGGAGGCTTTAGTGTTCAAGTACAAAGGCTGTGGGGAAAGCGACATTCCCTAGCAAGAGTCATAACTACATCATTCTTGTTCGGCAAAACAAATTATAGCGAACTGGGCAGTAGTCAGGATTGAAACTAGGGCGGTAAATTTTGAGGGGCGCTAAATTAATAATGAAATAAATTACAATGTAAACATAATTAATCAGGCAAGTACTAAAATCTGAAATATGTAACAAGAAGATTTTAAAAAAATGTTACGTTGTTACGAAAAAAAATCTTTAACCCTAAATCCGCCCCAATAAAATAAAATCATAAATCCGCTACTGGTACTAGGTAGCAGCTAGTCTGGGCGCATAATCCGAAAGACACTGAAAATCTGGCAAGAGTAAAAAGTTTGCAAAAGTTTTATCTACATGGTTTCGGGAATTGATTAATGCTCCTTCTAAATAAAGCCTCTTATACATGCAACGCCGATGAGATTGAATGCAGCAAACTGGCTAAAGTTTCAGGATTGACTCGTGAAATAATGAGAGCTGTTTCGTCGCGGTTGATTTTGTGACATTGTAGCGAACGAACTGAAAGTAATTTATTTAATTTCGAGAATCATGTTCGAATACAAACGACATGGGTCTGGTGGGGAATACTTCAAGTTTTACATAATTCCTTCCTCTGCGTCGATAAATATTATATTTCTTATTAAAAAAGCGAGTAAAGCAAATCAAATATGTGAGAGATTGCGAAACGAAGGTTTGGGAAACGCAATCCATGCATCGCTAAATAATATGTTCCGTAACATTATTTCATTATGATTCGTAAAATTAGCTTAATAAAACGAAAGTATAACATAACGTTAACTTATTCTATAGAGCAATACAAAATATTTGGTTTTGAATAACTTTCGGGAAAGAAACTGTAGTCAGTTTTATTATTCCAGACAAAGTCCAATGAAAATAATCTCTTTCCAAAATCAGGCTTTCTAGTGGGACGAATCGGGGACGCTGTTGATGAGCAGGAATTAGCATTTTAACGATTCGCATATAACGCCGCTCCCACTGAACATTCCCAAGAACATTAAGCACAAAAGGGGAAAAGTTTGAGCTAATAACTTATAGCTTGGTCTCTTAAGTTCAAATCGCTCGACGTTCCCTATCAGAAAGCTATGTTTTGTTCAGCTGTCCATAACCAGCTCGCTTATTAGTCGAATTACAGAATTTTAAATAGACTACTAAACGTCATTTATCATAAAAGTATTAATAATTTTCATGATTATATGCGATGAAGTTAAATCAACTGCTTTGACAACCAAGTTAATATGATAAGATGGTAAAGAATAAATTCAAAAGTTTCTAAAGGGATAAATATATTCTTTTAAAAGTTTTGATTGACATTGCTCATAGTTAGCATTACGCATTGTTATACTTCAAATTCAATTAGTTTTTATCAACATAGAAGCATTTTATTTACTTAACACTAATTCAAAACACTACCACCGTTAGATTCTAGTGCATGTGCGTCATGGTGATTATAGTTCTAACCGCATTCTGTTCTAAATAATTGAAAATTATCAATTAAAATGTGTTTAAATAACCCTTAAATTCGTACAAAATATATTGCTTGCTTACGACTTTTAACTTTTAATCAGGATCTATTATTTCTAAAGGTTGAAAACGGTGCAATGCCTTAGGTGAACTGTCTGCCACTCGCCAACTTTATACTTAAAATATAAGCACATTCAATGTGGATGTTGCTGTAAACAGAATAGCTATTCAAATAATGGATAGCGCACGCCTATCGCCTGAAGGAGCGCATCGTTACCGAGTTTGCTACCGACAGATTGCTTAGACAAAAACAATACCTTAGAAACGAGCATACCACATGCTTGTAGAAGGGCCATGAAATTCGAGAAACAGAATATTTGGAAAAATATTTTAAACACCAAACTGGGGAGAAGAGGCCTTGAAAAAGACACTTTGTGGAATCAGTTGGATTTCCGGATCTATACAACATAGGCACCTACCTTAAAATGTCACACACTAACGCCCCACTGCAAATCAACATTAGGGTAACATATGTTTCAAAAACATTTAGACTAGCATTAGGTAAAAAAATTCAAAAACGTTGTCAAGTAAACAAACAGAGAGGGAACCGAGCTCTTTCCGAGGGATATCTTATAGCTTGCGTGGGTGGCAATAATCACTAAGATTATACCAAAGCACGCAATCCACTTGAACGGATAAAAATATAATACAAACATTTAAAAGTATTGACCATAAACGCCTAAACTCAAGTTTTATGGCCCCGAACAAAGTGGGTTCTTATCGAAGCTGCACTAACGTCACGGACGCCTATGTATTACATTCCGTATTAGCCTCCTTTGTTCCCCCTTTATTCTTGTGCATCCTGCGTTTTAATGAACTCTCTTCTCGGAGCGCCTTAAGTAAGAATGGTTTCAGCAACTACTCTCCTTTTTATATCGCAATTTAATACACAATTACCAATGACGTTGCCTTCCACAATGCAGTTAAGCGTAGAGCAAAACATGTAAATAAAAATAAAGTAAAGAATCAGCCTATACATGTCCCACTGCTGGGTAAAGGCCTCCTCTGTACAGAGGGTATCAGGGCATAGTTCACCACGCGGCCCCACTGCGGATTGGCGGACTTCATATATCTTCGAAATATTTTTCTTGTTATTATTTCGCCTTAGGCATTAAGTCCGCCTGTACGCAATATTATTTTTTTTTGTGTAAAAGTTTAAATAAATAAATAAAATATGCAGGTTTCCTTACGATGTTTTCCTTCACCGCTTAGCACGTGATAATTTGGCACTTAAAATTAACAATTTCACTGATGCTGGCATCGGGGATCGAACTTGGGTTGCTCGAGTATATTGAATTAAAAGCGAGCGCCCGGGCACTGAGCTATCACGACTCCTTGCTCCTTCCAGAGTGGAAAATGTAAATCTACATGAAAAAATAAAAGTATAATAGTAACTTTTTTATGTGAGAAGGCGGCAAGCGAGCTGGTGGTTCACCTGATGATAAATGATAACCGCCACCCATTGACATTCACAACACG